TTTCTGACCAGCAGACCGGTAAATTCGCGAACCGGTGGTTTGGCTTCCCCCCCCCGTTTCCAAAAAAAAACTTTACAAGGTATTCAAGAATTACTATGTAAACTAATTGTAGCATACTTATTATCAAATAATATTTAAACGTAAAGATAAGTAAATATTGTAATTATTATACATAATTATCATATATAAGTAAATAAACTTTTGAATTAAATCACAGAAAATTATTAAAAAATAATCACAAAATCATTGCTTATAAAAACAGCGGTACGCTAGATAAGTGATTGAGAATCCCTGATTTACATACTGAAGCACCACCTGTCAAACTCTTCAGTTCGCTTTCCCTCTGCTCAAGTGACAACAGCTGAAATAATCGGAATTCATAATAACAAATGAATTTGGTTAAAAAACTTCGTTGTCATTTGTTTAACTTCTGTTTGCTTGTTAATAAAATTATTTAAACAAGTTCGTTCTATTTATTATACTAATAATAAATTGTCCTTATTCAACGGACTTCAAGGACTAATAAGCTTTTCTCCACTGAAAAGTAATATGTATTGTTAAGTATGAGTACTCATTGCCAGCAAATACACGTTCGTGGCACCAGGATAGGTCCCCTAATAATAATAAACGTAAATTAAACAATCAACAACTGACACGCTGAGAAAGCTTGAGCTAATCCGTTGCGCAGTATGCATGATAACATACACAGTTGCCAGATTTTAATATTTTTCTTCTGTAAACGACTGTAGGAGTATTGTTATAAAACATCTGAATTTGGAAGGACCGACGAATAGTGTTTGCTGACCGGCGGTTGAAAAACACTGTGCTAGACCATTGATTTCCAAACCGTTTGGCTTGAGTTAAGGAGATATCTAAACTGCTATGCCATGTCCACGAAATGAAATTATATATTTAAATGTTTACGTTTACCTTAATATCTCAATTTATTCAACAATACCCGTCCAACTGAATAGTGGTTAGCAATGCTGACTGCCGTACCGAAGGGCTCGGATTCGAACCCCGGAGAAGGCATGGGGGTACTCTAAATATGCTGTGAGCCGAAAGTCCTCTCGAGAGGTTGTTGGTACGCGAAGATAGGGGTGGGAGACCCTTGGACCCGTCGCCCCCTCCCGGGGTGATCGCCATCAAAATTGGGGGCGGAACTGAGCAAAGTCGTACTGTCACCTGAGCATCAGGAGCTCAAGGTTATTGTGAACACCAGGCGCTATCTTGAACTCCTTGCCACGATGAATTTCATGGGCTTGTTCTGATGTCACTGTCAGACAAGCGAGATAAATCACAACAACAACATTTATTCAACAAAGTGTACTGTCAAAAGTTAGCCGCACATAAATCTTCTTACAAAGTTGAATAAAACGAACGGATTTGTATTATCAGAGATACTTTACATTATTGCTGAGAGTATCTTTCAGTTCGTTATAATAAATTAACTTACCGCAAGTTAATTATAGCATGCAATTTAATTCCACTAATTATATATGATTATTAATTTATTTGAAATTTTTAGTACTAATTACATAGGATGGGGCAAATAAAAGTGTCCCGGAAAACAGAGTAACTCAGAGTTCTCAGGGTCACTTTTATTTGCCCCAACCTGTAGAAGACAACTGAAATTTAATTTGACTGTTATGGAACTATAGTGCATTATAGAGCTAAATTAAGACACAAAATAAAAAATTGTAAAAACTTTTAATGAGACAGAATACAATTTATGTCCTGTCGTCTAGGATGCCGTGTTCGAAAAGCATACGATTGTTTACTTTCGTTAAAACAGACTCGACTAAGTTATGTTATATGGCAAGTAAATATACTCTTCATAATAGTAGTAAAAACAAATTTATTTACAGAAATGCAGGTTTATTATGAGTTATGATTTCACATACCATTATCTTACGAGAGAAGACAAACACGCTGTTGCCAGTCCGCTACAACTAAATATTGACATCAAAAGGCGTGGCTTCTGAACAAGCCATCAACGACTAATATTAACAGTAAGGTGATCGAAATCTCGTGGCCCAAGTCCCATATGAAATTTACCCTAAATGCAATCGTCGACTCATTTTGTCACAAAGGATCATTTCCGGCAATTCACACACTCCATAATGCAATGCTGATAGATGGGACTTCCAGGGACTTATTTGATGCACCTTCCGCCTTAGAAAGAACATTTAAAAGAATACAGGGACTTCTGGAAGTCTAACTTGGTCATGTTTCCAAGGACAATCTGTTCTCTGTATTATTTGTCTATTCTACTATGTTCAATGCTATCCAGCAGTCTAGTGCTTAGTGATTCTGATTGCCATACCGATTGGCCCGGGTTCGATTCACGAAGACGGCATGGATATTTGTAATCGAATAGTGTCAGTGCGGCATGGGGGCACTCAAAATACACATCTAGCTTAAAGTCTTCTCGAGAGGCTGGTAGTAGATCGTAGGCTGTGTTATACGAAAGTCCGAGTGAATGCCATCGTCCTTTATTTTCCGCATTAACATCGTTGTCATCTTTCTCATAAATAATACCATCTTTATTTACGTTCATCGATCGCTTTCAGTTTACATCTAGCAGAATACTCAATGCTTTTTTTGTCTGAGTATCTTTCACTATATACCAGAAATAAAGTATTGCATTAAAAGCGAGAGCGTAGCCATAGGAGAAGAGTTTTGAAATTGTCCGCAAGTAAGAACCAAAACAAAATTCGCCACGCTAATTGCGAAAGTACTAAATGATGCGCATGCCCAAAAGTTAGAAGAATTTGGAAAGAGTAACTCTTGGCACCAAAAATACCCTTTCATTAGACAATATTATCACACTTATTTTTCGAATGGAATCATCTTCCTTATTTTTAGAATGCAATCATCACCAACTCGTCTGATAGGTCTAATTAAGTTACACTTCTAAATTTACTTATCTGTATCGTCAATCATTCGAATGCTTGACGATACAGATAAGTAAATTTAGAAGGCAATTTTAAATTCTGCTTATAGAAGAGTTTTCAATTTTAGCTGAAATTTTGAAGTAAAATCTTACTTCTCGGCTTCTACACGGATCAACTTTTATTCGAAAATATATAGTAATTGGATTACACATCACTAGGCTGAGGAACATTATAAACATAATAAAAAATTTACCAGCCTTTTTATGAACCAACCAACAGAAAATGTAATTTTTTTCTATCTTCTGTAAGATTGCAATCTGAAGGAATGTTAAAACAAATCAAAATTCAGAATATTGCTTATGGTGATTAGGTTATTTGAATACGACAGAGCCCATAAGAGCTATTTGCGTAAAGGGAGGATCCTTCGCGGAGGATTTTCTAAGGAATTCTGGCTCGTATTCGCGTTATACATGAGAAAACCAACCATGCTGCCAGCCCGTTCGTTTGAGATAACATCCAAGCCGAACTCCCAGTGCTCAGAGGTCTTAACCACACAGCTACTGGGGGAGCCATGATCATTTTAGGATATATTATAATTAAACTAATTTGCGACTAGAAAAGCAGTCTTTTGAGAAGCAAAGAATTTATTTTCTAGCAGTTAGAACTTATTTCTTAAGTCATAAAGAAAACTCTGATTGACTGATTTCGAGAGAAAATTAAGTTTAACGGAGTTGAGGAAAAATATCAGATGACTGCTCACTTAACGATTTATGACAACCGTAAAGAAGTAGCAGTCTTGATCTCAGTACAGTGATAAAAAAAAAGAAACATCCTGTCACTGAATAAATTACGAAACTTAACATATTTAGGCCATGACCTTAGGTATCGACATTCCTTGTCTTTTTATCGATCAAAAGATGTTATGGTAGTATATATTCCCCTTCATTTAGAGTATAGAAATTGGTGTTCAGTTGCATGTCTCTGTAAGAAAGATAAAAATAGTTTGCACTATTTAAGTTTATTAAGTTAAGTTAACTATATTTTCTAGTCGCAAATTAATTTAATTTTCAGCCGACTAAGAACTTTTTGACTGTAAGTTTTCTACAAATCCAACCTTAAATACCTGTTTTGACAATTTGAGAAACATTGAAAATTAAAGCGTCTCAATTGAAATTTTATTGGAATCACCGGAAAGGCAAAACTAATAAATCCAGACACACTTCATGCACACAGATATTATTGAGGATTCTAAATTTATTGTCAACTAGTTAAACGAGTTTTCAAACTTGCCCTTGATCTTACGACCTATTACAAAATTACGCGAACAATTTTCCTCATCTGCCAGTTTTATTTAAAAGAAGTTGTCCGTATTCGGTTGTCTAATACCAATTTATAATATTTGAAGCAATTTAAAAAAGTCTTAAGTCAAAAGAAAGTACTTGAGTGGTTGTAATCCGAAAATTCTCTAATCAGTTCTTTAACGACCAGGACGTCGCATCAAAACGAACGGTCTGATATCTATCAAAGGAAGAAGCCTGTCTGGAACTTAAGCTTATTTTTTGCGCGTTATTTCATAATGCAAATAAATGGTGCCTTTGTATTTTGAAATAATAAAAACTCTCCGATTTCGGAATTTCTACATAAGCTTACGTACTTCGTTTCATTCATAAGAATGTGCTATCTACAACAAAGCTTTCCCTCTAAAGAATAATAATTCCTTGTTACGTCGTGATATCTTAGATAAGGTAAAAACATCATCACGTTTCTTTTGTTGATATACAACTATTTTATCATTTGTTTTACACAAGGTTACACACAATCCATTGATACAAATTTCATAGAAGATTTGCCAGTGTCTGCTTCCCAGGGTCTTGTAAAAGTAAAATCATCATAGGTTTCGACATCTGCTCTCAGTGAGTCATTATGCAGACAAATAGGCCGTCCAGATCCAAACATTCCAACGTAGTTTCCATCTATTGCGACGAAAAAGAGAAAGGGCATAAAGAGCCACTTAAAATAGGAAGTGTGGAGCATAATCGCCAAAGTGAAGGTGAGATGACAATGGATAAGCGTGGCATTGGGGCAAAAAGAAAAGAAAAAAATCATGTCTCATTGAACGTTTTCCTGGTTGTCAGAGATGCTAATGCTCCGTGAGAATTTTTATTTATAGCAGAGGAAATTCAACCTAAAAACACGCTCAAAAGTAGGATGGAGTGAAGGCAATAAATTCCGATCAAATGTAGACGTCGATTGTTACTTTGAAATTATTATATTTTATTGCAACAAAATCAGTTGGAACAATGAATTCCTCGCTCTTGTGTAAGAGACAGCTGACCTGTGGCGTAGAAAACAAAAAGCAAGATTTAAAGCAGTCAACTACTCAGTTTCTGGTTGTTCTCTAATTCTCCGTTTTCGTTTCTAGGAAATTTTATCTTGTTTTAAACTCTGAGGTGAAGCTGAGTTTGTTTTCGCATCAGGAATATAAAATAATAAAAGTAAAGTTTACCAGGTAAGGAATTGTATTAATTTCATCATCTGCATATTAAATGAAGTAAACATGTGTATACTTTTAGTGTAGTTTGCGCTTCTAATGCTTTCTCATCTATGGATGTTTGTTTGGGAAAATATTGCGCTATTACCGAAAGTGAACTTTTGCACCTGGCCATTAATTAATATTTTATATTTTACTGACTTCCTGTCATTTTGGTAAGCTGGAGATACCTTTATTAGATCATCGGTTTATTTTATTTTTTTATTTTTTATTTATTTATTTATTTTCGTTATGCCGTTTTGAGTTTAAATCAGTGTTTCCTTTAATGAATTGCGTTCCTTATTAAGGCACATCAAAAGAGTTTCTCTTTTTGTGTTCAGATGGAATATTTTCGTTCTCTAAATGTATGACGTGAATATTGTTAATTTAATTTACTAGAATAAAATTTTACCAAAGTTTTTATCGGATCAGCCACAGAAAAATTATTCTTAATTATTGTAAGAATTTTGTAAAATATAGCTTTCGTCCCTGAAAATGATAGCAACGCAACCAAATGAATTTAAGATCAGGATTTAAAGAGTGGAAATTATGCAAAATTTCTCGTAAAGTGGCAGACTCAGCTGCTTCAAATAATGTATCTTTCCGGTTTATAAAAATATTCTTACTGATTTAATTTGGTCTGAGTTTCAGGGGTAAACAAAAGATACAAATAAATACTTAGGACTATAAATTTACCGAATCAAAAGTGCGTGCAAAAGTAAGTTTATTTATCTTAAAAGTTAGCAATAGCTGAGATACATTTTTAAGGATTGAAGATTTTTAAATTACTCTTTAGTAACATTAGCAAAATACTATTTTATATAATTTTTTAAGTGAAATTTTTAATCGATAATTGAAGGGAATCAAATATTTTAAAACTATGAAATGAAAAGAATTAAAAATCATTGCCACTTCTAATTTCGTCCCGGATTCTATACCTGACTACAGAATGCTGCCCATGGATGTTGGTAGTTTATTAATATATCGTAAATCTGGGCCTGCTCTTTTCAAGAAATCCCACAAGAAAACATTCCTTCAAAGACTGATAATTCTAGTGTCCGGTCCTCCTGATTACACGTCGGACGTGTCTCCAGTTACGCGCAGAAAGGAAGAGGAAGGCGCACGGCAAGGAGGGAAGAAAATACCTTATATGCTGCCCCTTTTAAACAGCGAATCGGGATGAGGGAGCGCAGTTGAGAAATCTTGGTGATGACAAACTATCGTCCATCAACTTTTAGTTCGGGTACCACTTGTACAGTCTTTTAGAATTTTGGCGATATCAGAAAACTGAAGAAATCCGCACTGTTCTCGCCGAGATTCGAACTCCGGAACTTCCGACTGTCAGCCGGACGTGCTATTCAATTATACCAGGAAGGAAAGGGAAAGGAGGGAGAAAATACCTTAAAAACTACTATTTAAAGTAAATTTATTATCATTTAAAATTTATTTTCTGTATCAAATTCTTATCATTTCAGAATTTCATTGAATCTAGTTATGAGATAATAAAAACTCAGAAGTTAAATATGTACGAAGCCTAACTACCTCAATGCTAAATTCTGGCTTCGTGAAGATAGCCAGGCTATTTATTGCACTATCTTAATCTTCCAGTGAAAATAATTCCAAATTCAGATGATGGTTTTAAAAAAAATTTTTTTACAACTTCAACTTAAAAACTTACACGGCTCGTGTAATTTACAGAACAAATCCCTCTTCTTGAGGAATTTAACTGAAAATAAATGTCACAGTACTTTAGTAATTAAAGTATAAATTCACACGGTGCAGTCCTACTGAAGGCCAGAGTGACTGGGCTCTGTTGCCTGACAGTCGTGGGACTGCCTTACACAGATTAAAGCCCAGACCTCCGGATATTTATTTGTATTAAATTTCAAAAAACGTTTTACATGGGCACACAGAGCCGTTTTACTTTACAGAGTTATGTTACATTGTTCTGTTTTGGTCATAATGATACTTCTTGACATGACATGCATAACACTTCAGACTAACTTTATACTTTTACATGCTAATATTTCAGAAACACTTGGTAAATAACTATAAGCTTTGGATAAGGTTCTCTAATTACGCAAGCAAAACATGGCTAGCAAAGTCTAAACTGCGATTCAGGTAAAATTAGAAGCGGGCCGAAAACAGTTCGGAGAAGCTCAGCGGTTGCTGCTAAAAGCTTTCTCTTTACTTCTCGAACTCTCTTCCAGTGTATGTTATCGACAATGTATGAAACGCCGACATCTGTAGAATGTGTAGATATTTTATAGAATGGCGCTTTTAGGTAAATTATGAAATATGAGAATTATTGTATACTTTCCTTAGGCATTGTATATAATACCTAGGCATTCTGTTGAATGACAAATTCTATTTAGGCAAAGTATGAAAAAAGGTCATGATAAGGCTATTATTTAAAAGACGTGCATTTCCCAAAAATACAAATGTGCTTTTGAAAAATTAACCATTAAAAGAGTGTTTCCATTTTCATGCAGCTCGGTATAGAACTAATGTTTTGTTGAACAAGTGAATATCTTTTTTTTTCACTTATGAATATCTTGTATTTTGACTTCCCTGAACGAAATGTAAACTGCAAATGACAAACTCTGAGCCCGAGGCGAGCATTAAAGATCACGTGCCTTGCCGCGAGATATTCGAAAAGAATCGGAGATATATTTCATATACTGCCGTTTGTATAGAATATTCTATAGAATGTCAATATTCTATAGAATTCTATAGAATATTCTATAGAATGTCAGTATTCTATAGAATGCCTAGGAAATGTATAAAATGTTAATCGCTTCATCCTTTGTCATCCAGTTTTCGGCATTCTATAAACTGCCTAGGTATTCCATAGAATGCCGGTTTCATACATTGACGGTACATTAACTAATTTGCATTCTGATGGGAGCTGGTGGAAGTAGAATTGAAAGTAAAAATAAAAATAATAAGCTAATAGGTTAATAATCATAAAACCCTACAATTATACAAGTTTTCCCGCATATTTTAACTGCCCGATATAAGATACTATATAAACTTACATTTTGCCCCGTAATGTAATAAACTACTTTTTTTCTCTCTCTCTCTTTTCAGAATTTTGCCATGAGTCAAAATTTGCTGGAATGCATCCTCCCTGCTACAACAAGTACGTATCTTAAAGAAATTCTAGACAAATCCAAGTAAAAATAGCAGTTTTATAGCACTTTTCTAATAACACTGGCTTTGATAGTTTAGCATTTGCTAATGAGTACTAAACAACATTCCTTTCACTGGCACTGCAGGTTTCACTCTTAATAAGAAATGTCCTCATGATGATCCACTGACAATAAAATATAAATTTTTATTGAGTTATCGATTCTTAGACAGACAAATCTTAACTTCATTTCTAGAATCAGAGGGTACTTAAGATTATCACCTATATACACATTATTTATTAGTAACATCCATTCTTTAAATCAGGATGCATTGTGTCACTTTCAATACATATCCATGATTATGCACCCTCCTATGGTGGGAAACATTACCTTTCAGTGCATGGATGTAATTACTATATTTTGGTGTATTTCTGACTTTTATTAAACAAAAAAAAATTGTGTACAGAAAGCAACTTAAACTCATTATTACATGTCTAAAATGAGGTAAAATATTGTGTCTCTATATCTAGTGCTTCGGATGATCATTAAAATATAAAACGCATGTACTTTTGTGTATCATGTATGTATATTTTATATAAGAAAATCTTTTGGAACTGAAAGTCACTTTGTTACGAGAAGTTACATGTTTTTCATATTCAATGAATACATAATTCAGACTTAGAGGAAAAGGAAACATAATTAGACTAACATATTAAAATGACTAATGAATTTTTTTTAATAAAAGTAGGTGTTTACAAATTTACCAGTGTGGAATAAAGTGGCAATTTTTATATATTTCTACCGCTAAACACTTCTGTAGTAATTTATATTCTTTTGCTCACCAGGGACAAAATTAAAATAAATCACAACTGTATCTGCAGTTTTACCAGGCCATTACATCTCAACTGCAAAACATGTCCAACATTGTTAACGGTTAGGGAGAAAGAAATATTCACGATTTTTACAGACCTTAGAGATTAGAAGCCTGTCGTTTTCCTTGTGACAAAAGGTGGACGTTTCAAGAATTTGTAAGGTCTATAAAATCTTTGACCAACATTTCTTTCATTAACATGGTATGCTACCCTATTTTTTCCGCTACAATGTACAGCCACGTCGCTGACTTATTTTCTATAAGCATCTATTTTACATAGCAAACAAAGCTTCAAATTTCGAACAAACAGTACACAGTTAGTTTTGCTGAGACAATGTTAGCTTTGGTTACAAAAGGATCCATAATATTAAAAGTAAATGGAATACTGTCTGTATGGACACAATAATCTCTGCGTACAATTTGCGCAAATTAAAGTCTGCTAACCGAAGAACAAATTTTATGTTTTCTGTTAAATATTTACATTTCATATGTACCGCTTGTTTCCTCTGCCATGGAGAGAAGCATTATTTAAGTTTGGTTACAAAAGTTGATCTATTCTGAATTTTCTGGGTGGCTAGCTAAAAGCCCACACGAAGGAAGCCGTAGAATAAAGTTCCCAGTCATTAAATGCCCATGCAAAAAAATATTAATACATGAAACTGCGCAAACAGGTAAGAAACCCATACGGAAAGAGGCGCAAGTGACTAAAAGATCACACAAAACATTCCTCATTTAAATGCGCCAGTAAAAAAAAAAAAAAAAAATACACAGAATAATGCTTACCTTGTTTTGGGAGCACACGAAGTAATACATATTTGAGAATTTAAATAGTAACCAAATAATAGAGAATTTAACACAAGTATGTTAATATGTTAATTAAATGATTAAAATTATAAATTTTAATTAAATGCATCTCCGCTTTAAAGGATACACTTTGCTGCGTCACTTTGCCGCATGCAAAGTCACTTCTTCCCTACAATCTCGCTGCACTGCGGCATATGTAGCCCAAGTCGCTGCTCTGAATTAACGCAATGACTTTCTGCCTATAAATAGGACCGAAATGATTATGTATTGCTTTTACCCCTGACAATGGGTCGCGCTTTCGTCTCCATTACTTCAAGCTTCCGTTTTTACGAGTATACTTTCACGGACTTAACGAAGTTATAAGACGAAGACTGACGAAAAGACGAAGACTGACGAAAAGACGAAGACAGTTATAAGACTGAATCTCCCTGAGCTGGTAAAAGTGCGCTAAGACCAGCAAAAAGGAATTATATTCGTATTCGTACGTATTGCCTTTTTCTCGCTTCCTGTTTCCTGAATAAACCACGTCTCTTGCTTCGCCTTCTTCTTCATTGTCTAAAATATAAACTACATATATCGAAATTATGGAACGTGTTTAGCACCCCTAGTGTTATAGCAGTTTAAAGGAAAAATGTATTTCTGGATAACTGATACTGTGCAAAATAAAACTGATGTTTTAACGATGAAGCTATTTGTGATTTGCGCACCATTCGTTATCTAAGCAACAGTCTTCTCAGCCATGACTCAAGCGTGATTTGGGTTTCATCTTTCCCCATAAACCACATCATTCCACACACACACACACACATATATATGTATATTTGGCACATTGTTTTCAATTTACTCAATAGTAATTCGGGTTTTTTACTTGAGAATTTAATTAATTTTTAGCAAACTGCTTTTGATTTCCCCAATGATTATTCTTGTTTCTTGTTTTCTTGTTTATGTTTTTGTTTTAATTTTGATATATGTATTTTCTTTTAGAGGGTTATCCATTTTTCATGATCAAACTTTGATTTAATTATTATCTCTACATATATATGAGATATAAAATACGCATGAACATATACATATATATAATAAAAAATTAATAACTTTAATTTAGCTATAGTCCTTTTAATTCCTCATTTTAATTTGTCTATGTCCACTTCCTATCTTGAAACTATGAATATAAACTGTGTCATCTGAAAATTAATTCGAATTGCGTATCTTATTAATCCTCTAATGCTCTTCTAAAATCACCTTCCAAAATTTAAACAAAGAAATCAACTCATAACTACCCTTTGCTGAAATGCGCAGTAACTTTGCTTGCCTTTCTTTGGCTATGCTAAGATGTACTGTTGCATCGCTTTGTTCTCTGTGCCGTCTATTGTCTAAAAAATGTGATATACTACGAAAAAGTGTGGACGGTGCTTATCGCACCCAAAATGATGTGTGAACATGTCTATGCTTATCAAGGATGTGCAGGAATATACTATTATTCTGTTTTCATCAAGTCTGTCTCCGTTATATCATTTGTGTATTTACGCTATATTTTAATCCCCTTGCTACAAAATTAATTAATAAATCAACAGATAAAAAAGTAAATCAAAATTAACGAAACATTTATGCTTTTATTTTGTGTATTTCCTTATGGGGAGCAGCTCAACTTTCGTAATTTAATTTTTATGTCTTGATTTTACACACACACACATATACATAACAGCATCAATTTTTTTATTTATTTTAACAAAATTATTAAACAAAATTATCCCAATATTTTTTCTGCGCAATTTCCTGCTGAAAATTAATCAATTAGAAATTTAGAACCAAATTCACAAACACACAAAAGAAATGAAATACAACGTATTTCTTATATTATAAAATATATTTCTTGTAATACACTGACTACCAATAAGTATTTGGACACCTATGCAAATTACGATATCTGCGGTCCTAAGGTACGTCACGGACTCCGCCGGTATATATCGTGTAGGAAACAGCATCGGCTTTAGTCGCATGCAAGATGCCTCGCAGTTCGGAGCTCTCTGATTTCGAGAAAGGTATAATATCGGGTATCACAAATGTGGCTGATCCTTAGGGACATATCTAGCGATCTGAAGTACCCAAAATCGACAGTGGCCTATGTGATTAAGAAGTGGAAGGTTGAGCGGTGATTGTCGGAATGTGCCCCGAGTCGGCAGACCAACGAAACTGGAGATAGGACCTACGAGTGCTGTCCAGAGAAATTCGGAAGAACCGCACCCAAACGATGGCCCTCATCCGCGAGGAGTTTCAACAGACATCCGGGAGTATTGTTTCAATGAATACCATCCGTAAGGAAGCACATCTGCTTGGTTTTCATGGTCGTGCTGCTGCCCATAAGCCTTTGATCAAAAAGTCCAACCCCGCTGCTCGGTTAATGTGGTGTAAAGCACATCGAAATTGGACCTCAGATCAGTGAAAACGGGTTCTTTGGAGTGACGAATCAAGTTTCACCCTTTACCGTTCGGATGGCGGGGTCTGGGTCTGGCGTCTACCTGGAGAACGTCTCCTGCCAGAATGCATTGTGCCAACAGTCAAGTTCGGCGGAGGTGGAATTACGGTCTAGGGGTGTTTCTCCTGGTATGGGCTGGGACTCTTGGTCCCCATTCATGGTAAGCTCAACTCCGATGCCTACTGCACTATTTTGGATGACAATGTGCTTCCTACGTTGTGGCAGTTTTACGGGTTGGACCCCTGTTACTTTCAGGACGACAATGCCAGTTGTCACGTTTCGACGTTAACCAAGGTTGGTATGGTGCCAATGGAGTTCATCGAATGGACTGGCCTGCCCAGAGTCCAGACCTGAGCCCTATCGAGAACCTCTGGGACGAGTTGCATCGCCGAATTGAGGGGTGCACTATCCGTGCAAAATCGGTGCATGAACTTCTATGTCATCTCCAAAGCCGAGTGGAAGAAAATACCACTAGCTGTCATACAAAGATTGTGGAAAGTATGCCCCGAGGGTCCACGCTGTAATTACCTCTCGTGGAGACTCTACCAACTATTTATTTTGAATAAAGTTAGTTTTTCTTTTCTATAACAGGTGTCCAAATACTTATTGGTAGTCAGTGTATTTGTATTTGATGTTTACATATTTCTTGTAAAATACAATATATTTCCTGTACTTTTGTATTCCCCATATTTATAATTCTTCTGGTTTGGTAACTATTGGCTTTTTTTACATATTCATAGAGAATTTAACTGTTATTGTATTTCATTCCTTTTGCTTGTTTGTGGATTTAGTTCTAAATTCCTTATTTCTTATCTATCATATACATTCTTTTGCAAAAAAATCGAAGCACCATGCAGGAA